TGGTTTACAGTGAATTTATAACAGCTAAGGGGCGCTGTTAGGCACTTCACGGGGCTTATTGGTCTATTTTATTAATAGCATTTTAATCATATAGTCATTAATCACCATAATCATTTAAAAAAATGTATATGTGCTTGTATCAGCACACACACACACACACAAATAAAGAAAAACAAGTAGATAGAATAGAAAAAATTGAAAGTTAGTGTTAGTTTTTTGTTGTTTAAAAAAAAAAAGAAAAAAAAAAGATAAATATAGATAAAGTAGAATTAAAATAGAATAGAAAGTGTTAGAGTTAGAGGGTCAAATAAAAATGGAACCGATGTGTTTTTAGTCGTTATGTTTTTAATATTAATATTTTGAATTAGTTTTAATTTTTTTATTTTCATTTTCATTTTAATTCAATTTTTACTAATTATATTTTGAATTAGCTATTATTTTTTTCATTTTCGTTTTAATTTTAGTTCAAATTTGACTGATTTTGCTGTTTGTTCACTTTTTGGTTTAAAAAAAATTATAATTTAATTATTTTTTATTTCAGTTTTAGTTTTAGATACTTTAGTGATAAACAAAAATTATAAATGTTGCCTTGGCAAAGAACTGAAATAAAATACGTTTTTAAAAATATATTTAAAATGTATTTTATTTTATTTCAGTTGACTTTAAGTGAAGAGATTTTTTTATTGTAATTGTTATTTAACCCTGGTTAACGTTGCGACTCACCCTCGGCGACGCAATCCTTGCCGTTGCCGTAGTAACCGGGTTTGCAGCGACAGCAGAATCCGTCAGCGTAATCTCTGCAGTCGGCGAACACAGAGCACTTGTTCTTGTTGCTGGAGCACGTCTCGTTATTATAAGAGAACACTGCCAGAAAACATAAAGAAACATTTGATACGGACACACAGTTCAGACTTGTTGGGCTGAATATAATCAGTGTTGTTCTCTCACCGTCGACGTTCAGCTCGTCTTCATCGATGATCAGCACCTCCGTGGTTTACAGTGAATTTATAACAGCTAAGGGGCGTTGTTAGGCACTTCACGGGGCTTATTGCTCTATTTTATTAATAGCATTTTAATCATATAGTCATTAATCACCATAATCATTTAAAAAAATGTATATGTGCTTGTATCAAGGTTATTAAAGTGAACTAAAACTATAAAACACATTTTGGTTACCTGAAATAAAAAAAATAAAAAAAGTTATTTTATTCCAGCTAGTTGTCAAAGCTAGTTAATTTAGTTTAACTTGATGTACTTAACTAAAACTATAATAAAAATTAATTAAAAAAATATTAAATGTTTAAATATATTGTTATTATTTACTACTAAAGTAACACTTGTGTATGTGTGTGTGTATGTGTAATTATAACGTTAATATTATATTTTCTCCAAATAAAGCTTTGCATATGGATCTGCACATCTCACGTCTCATCAGCCCCGTAACAATATATATATATAGCTAGCGAGAGAGAGATGAAAATCATTAAATTATTAATGAATATTATTAATATATTAAAATACTTACATTTATTTGTTTATTTCTTTATATGTAAATGCACACGCACACACTCACACACACACTCACACTCACACACAGATACACACTCTCTCTCACACACACACACACACACACACACACACAAAATCATCTTATCATGTTAGTATGATCAGTTTTAACAGACTTATCAGTTTTTAAAAAGGGAGATGTTTTATTGTCTGATTAAACACTACAGTAATTCAGCACAAATTCATTCACTTAATATTTAATATAGAGATTTAGTGTTGTTTAGTTAAAAACGGGGACATTTTATTGTCGGATTTATTTTATTGTCCGAATAAACTCTATAGTAATTTGGCACAAACTCATCATAGGTAGGTGTTTTATTTTAACATATTAATCACTTTCATATATGTGTCCCTGCAGCACAAAAGCAGTCTTAAGTCGCTCATAAAATCATTAGCATATTAAGTAAAGATCATGTTCCATGAAGATATTTTGTAAATTTCCTACTGTAAATATATCAAAACTTAATGTTTGATTAGTAATATGCATTGCTAAGAACTTCATTTGGACAACTTTAAAGATGATTTTCTCAATATTTAGATTTTTTTGCACCCTCAGATTCCAGATTTTCAAATAGTTGTATCTCAGCCAAATATTGTCCTATCCTAACAAACCATACATCAATGCAAAGCTTATTTATTAATCTTTCCGATGCATAAATCTCAATTTCCAAAAATTGACCCTTATGACTGGTTTTGTGCTCCAGGGTCACATATATATTTTTATTTTATTTTACTTTTCGAACAAAACCACTGCTTTTATGATTAACCGACTATCATTAAAAACCGAGGGAGCCCAGATTAATAATGCACCAATAACTACTTTTAGAAGTAGGCACTTACTGTGCAAGAGCGCTTATTGACTCCTCGCTGTCTTCAGAGATGCGATAGTAAGATCCCTGAGTGGTCGCCCACCCGAACCATCCCGGGACCTTCCCTTCATTGAAGCCGACCTCAACCAGCTGATCTTCATCATCAATGAGAGTGGAGCCGAACTGCATGCTCTCCTCTGGATACAGCAGGATGGCGTAAGACGCAGACTCCATGTTTGCTACAACCAGCTGGAAAGTATTTCTCTGCAACAGATTTATAACAAGCTTGCATTTCAGGAAGGAAAAGCAATGTTAATTATCTGTCATGATTAGGAGCTGGATAATGACACTATTGTCTTTTTAGTGCTGCTTTACAGATTAGAACTGAATCTGCATAGCTGAAGAAATTTGCAACATTAAAACTATGTTCCTAATTATCACGGTGAAGCTGCTTTGAAGCAATCTGTACTGTATAAAGTGCCATAGAAGTAAATGTGCCTTATAATAATGCATATTCTTGCATATTGCAAGATTGTTTTGTGTGCATATTCTTGCATACTGCAATAAAAAAAACGTGCATATTCTTCTATACTGCAGGGAAAAAAAACTTTGCATATATTTGCATATTACAAGACAATAACTTTACAAATTCTTGCATATTGCAATACAAATCTGCATATTCTTGTATATTGCAGAAAACCTTGCCTACTCTTGCATATTTCAAGACAATAAGTTTGCATATTCATGCATTTTGCAATAAAAACCTGCATAATTTGTATATTCTTGCCTATTTCAAGACAATAACTGCATATTCATGCATATTGCAAGACAATAACTGCATATTATTGCATATTTCAAGACAATAACTGCATATTATTGCATATTTCAAGACAATAACTGCATATTATTGCATATTGCAAGACAATAACTTTACATTTTCTTGTAAATCAAAATAATAACTGCATATTATTGCATATTGCAAGACAATAACTTTACATTTTCTTGTAAACTGAAATAAAAATGGCATATTCTTGCATATTGCAGAAAATTTTGCCTATTCTTGCCTATTTAAAGACAATAACTTTAACTAAAAACAATAACTAAAATTTCTTGTATATTGAAATTAAAAAACAGCATATTCTTCCATACTGCAGGAAAAAAACTTTGCGTATCCTTGCATATTTCAAGACAATAACTGCATATTCATGCACGCTGCAATACAAAACTGCATATTCTTGCATGTTGCAAGACATTGCATATTGCAAGACAATAACTGCATATTATTGCATATTTCAAGACAATAACTGCATATTATTGCATATTTCAAGACAATAACTGCATATTATTGCATATTGCAAGACAATAACTTTACATTTTCTTGTAAACTGAAATAAAAATGGCATATTCTTGCATATTGCAGAAAATTTTGCCTATTCTTGCCTATTTAAAGACAATAACTTTAACTAAAAACAATAACTAAAATTTCTTGTATATTGAAATTAAAAAACAGCATATTCTTCCATACTGCAGGAAAAAAACTTTGCGTATCCTTGCATATTTCAAGACAATAACTGCATATTCATGCACGCTGCAATACAAAACTGCATATTCTTGCATGTTGCAAGACATTACTTTGCATATTCATGCATTTTGCAATAAAAACCAACATATTTGCATATCTCAAGACAATAACTTTGCATATTCATGCATTTTGCAACAAAAACCAGCATACTTTGTATATTCTTGCATACTGCAAAACAATAGCTCTGCATATTCTTGCAGACTGCAATAAAAACTTAAATAAAGGTGAGTTGACTTGTAGACGCTTTTGTGCCGGCTTAATAACTTAATAACATTAATAACATTCAGAGTTGAGGGACGTACCGCATATTCACCTCCTGTTCCTCGTTCACCTTGAGGCGCCACATTCTCCCAGGTGACGATGATGGCGTGAGTGGGTTCGATCTCGTCGTCAGAAGGAAACGCTTGGCCGATGTGCTCTGCGGCTCTCTGGAGCACATCAGGGCTTTTATCCTGGCGGAAATAGACATAACCGGCCCCATCGGTGGTGTCCAGATCTCCCAGGAAGGCTGCAATCATACCAAAACTGGCCGGCATCTTCCCCAGGTACTCAGACTCATCGGTCGGGTTAGTCAGCGAGATGAAGCCATTGGTGTTGACCTGCAGAGGGTGTCACATGAAACACAAATAAGTACAGACCTAAACCAGTATGGATCCGTGTTGCGCTTCTTATGACAGTGGCTAGGAGAGAAACACTGAGTGCTAATGTATTACACTTATATGCATAACTTGAAGGAATAACAATTCATATCATGTGGCCTGTTGAGGAGCGGTAGAAAAGGTGAAAAATTCTACAGACATGCATATGTAGAGAGCTTCTAGAGAACTTATTTTCTTGTGTATTGCACAAAAGTCATATATTTTTGAATATTGCAATAAAAAACGTTACATATTCTTGCATAATGCAAGAAAAAAACATTGCATAATCTTGCATTTTGCAATAAAAATTTTTTGCAAATTTTTGCATACTGCAAATTACAAAGTTGCCTATTGCATATTGCAATAAAAATGTTGCATATTCTTGTGCATATTACAAGACAAAAACACTGCATATTCTTGCATATTGCAATAAAAATGTTGCATATTCTTGCATATTGCAATAAAAATGTTGCATATTCTTTTGCATATTGCAATAAAAATGTTGCATATTCTTTTGCATATTTCAATAAAAAAATATATAATAATATGCAAAAAAATGCATATTATATTTCAAGACAATAACTGCATATTATTGCATATTTCAAGACAATAACTGCATATTATTGCATATTTCAAGACAATAACTGCATATTATTGCATATTTCAAGACAATAACTGCATATTATTGCATATTTCAAGACAATAACTGCATATTATTGCATATTTCAAGACAATAACTGCATATTATTGCATATTTCAAGACAATAACTGCATATTATTGCATATTTCAAGACAATAACTGCATATTATTGCATATTTCAAGACAATAACTGCATATTATTGCATATTTCAAGACAATAACTGCATATTATTGCATATTTCAAGACAATAACTGCATATTATTGCATATTTCAAGACAATAACTGCATATTATTGCATATTTCAAGACAATAACTGCATATTATTGCATATTTCAAGACAATAACTGCATATTATTGCATATTTCAAGACAATAACTGCATATTATTGCATATTTCAAGACAATAACTGCATATTATTGCATATTTCAAGACAATAACTGCATATTATTGCATATTTCAAGACAATAACTGCATATTATTGCATATTTCAAGACAATAACTGCATATTATTGCATATTTCAAGACAATAACTGCATATTATTGCATATTTCAAGACAATAACTGCATATTATTGCATATTTCAAGACAATAACTGCATATTATTGCATATTTCAAGACAATAACTGCATATTATTGCATATTTCAAGACAATAACTGCATATTATTGCATATTTCAAGACAATAACTGCATATTATTGCATATTTCAAGACAATAACTGCATATTATTGCATATTTCAAGACAATAACTGCATATTATTGCATATTTCAAGACAATAACTGCATATTATTGCATATTTCAAGACAATAACTGCATATTATTGCATATTTCAAGACAATAACTGCATATTATTGCATATTTCAAGACAATAACTGCATATTATTGCATATTTCAAGACAATAACTGCATATTATTGCATATTTCAAGACAATAACTGCATATTATTGCATATTTCAAGACAATAACTGCATATTATTGCATATTTCAAGACAATAACTGCATATTATTGCATATTTCAAGACAATAACTGCATATTATTGCATATTTCAAGACAATAACTGCATATTATTGCATATTTCAAGACAATAACTGCATATTATTGCATATTTCAAGACAATAACTGCATATTATTGCATATTTCAAGACAATAACTGCATATTATTGCATATTTCAAGACAATAACTGCATATTATTGCATATTTCAAGACAATAACTGCATATTATTGCATATTGCAAGACAATAACTTTACATTTTCTTGTAAACTGAAATAAAAATGGCATATTCTTGCATATTGCAGAAAATTTTGCCTATTCTTGCCTATTTAAAGACAATAACTTTAACTAAAAACAATAACTAAAATTTCTTGTATATTGAAATTAAAAAACAGCATATTCTTCCATACTGCAGGAAAAAAACTTTGCGTATCCTTGCATATTTCAAGACAATAACTGCATATTCATGCACGCTGCAATACAAAACTGCATATTCTTGCATGTTGCAAGACATTACTTTGCATATTCATGCATTTTGCAATAAAAACCAACATATTTGCATATCTCAAGACAATAACTTTGCATATTCATGCATTTTGCAATAAAAACCAACATATTTGCATATCTCAAGACAATAACTTTGCATATTCATGCATTTTGCAACAAAAACCAGCATACTTTGTATATTCTTGCATACTGCAAAACAATAGCTCTGCATATTCTTGCAGACTGCAATAAAAACTTAAATAAAGGTGAGTTGACTTGTAGACGCTTTTGTGCCGGCTTAATAACTTAATAACATTAATAACATTCAGAGTTGAGGGACGTACCGCATATTCACCTCCTGTTCCTCGTTCACCTTGAGGCGCCACATTCTCCCAGGTGACGATGATGGCGTGAGTGGGTTCGATCTCGTCGTCAGAAGGAAACGCTTGGCCGATGTGCTCTGCGGCTCTCTGGAGCACATCAGGGCTTTTATCCTGGCGGAAATAGACATAACCGGCCCCATCGGTGGTGTCCAGATCTCCCAGGAAGGCTGCAATCATACCAAAACTGGCCGGCATCTTCCCCAGGTACTCAGACTCATCGGTCGGGTTAGTCAGCGAGATGAAGCCATTGGTGTTGACCTGCAGAGGGTGTCACATGAAACACAAATAAGTACAGACCTAAACCAGTATGGATCCGTGTTGCGCTTCTTATGACAGTGGCTAGGAGAGAAACACTGAGTGCTAATGTATTACACTTATATGCATAACTTGAAGGAATAACAATTCATATCATGTGGCCTGTTGAGGAGCGGTAGAAAAGGTGAAAAATTCTACAGACATGCATATGTAGAGAGCTTCTAGAGAACTTATTTTCTTGTGTATTGCACAAAAGTCATATATTTTTGAATATTGCAATAAAAAACGTTACATATTCTTGCATAATGCAAGAAAAAAACATTGCATAATCTTGCATTTTGCAATAAAAATTTTTTGCAAATTTTTGCATACTGCAAATTACAAAGTTGCCTATTGCATATTGCAATAAAAATGTTGCATATTCTTTTGCATATTGCAATAAAAATGTTGCATATTCTTTTGCATATTTCAATAAAAAAATATATAATAATATGCAAAAAGTTGCATATTCTTGCATATTGCAATAAAAAAGTTGCATATTCTTGCATATTGCAATAAAAAAGTTGCATATTCTTTCATATTGCAATAAAGACGTGGCATATTCCTGCATATCGCAATAAAAAGTTGCATATTTTTGTGCATATTCTTGCATATTGCAATAAAAAAGTTGCACATTCTTACATATTGCAATAAAAATGTTGCATATTCTTGCATATTGCAATAAAAAAGTTGCATATTCTTTCATATTGCAATAAAGACGTGGCATATTCCTGCATATCGCAATAAAAAGTTGCATATTCTTGCATATTGCAATAAAAAACATTGCATATTCTTGCATTTTGCAATAAATTTTTGCAATAAATTTTTGCATACTGCAAATTACAAAGTTGCCTATTCTTGCATATTGCAATATAAATGTTGCATATTCTTGCATATTGCAATAAAAAAAAGTTGCATATTCTTTCATATTGCAATAAAGACGTGGCATATTCCTGCATATCGCAATAAAAAGTTGCATATTCCTGCATATTGCAATAAAAAAATGTTGCATATTCTTGCATATTGCAATTTAAAAATTAGCATATTCTTGCATATTGCAATAAAACTGCACAAAAGCGGTTTCTGGCAGAAATCAATGAAGGGATCAATAAAGCATAAAAACAGCCCTGCTTTTAAACCACTGTAAAAACTGATGTGTTCTTCTTAAAAATGTTTTTAATAGCAAGCATAAATTTTGCTTTGTTTAGTAATAATTAATTCGAGTGAGAATCACTCATTAAATCTTAAATTGCATGAAATCCAAGTAAAAATCACTGTCTGTTCTGAAAAACTGCACATTATTAGATGTTTTTCTGCAGGAACAGACACAACATCATCAAACCTGACGCCTAAAACAAACAGCGATGATTTTCTGTGATCTTTCTTTCCTAACGGTGATGGTGCTTGTTACAGTCGAATGCCTTCACACTTCAAAAGGTGTTGTGACATTTAAACTCAAGCGTGTTTGTGTGTGTAAAAGCTTTTCTTTAACGAGTTTCTGGCAACTTTAAAGTAAAACCGCAGGGGAGCCGCAAAGCATGTGAGAAGAAGGTCTCCTCCAATTCCTTACTGCTTACACTGGGTTAAAATCTAAACATTAGTTCTGGCTTCTCAGGATCTTGAACCTCAAATAATGGAGGACGTTCTTCACACCAAAGTGACAAAATCAAACCCCCACAATCTGTGTTTGACGTCTGCAGGTTGTTGAAACGCTAACCTGACATGCTTGAGTCTGGAAATACAGCAATTAAAACACAAGATTAGTCTTTTGGAAGCATTTCAATCCAATGCATTTCCTGTAGCAACAACAGGCTTTAATGTTCTAAGTAATGTTCTTCAAAACCATTCAAGCGCCAAAAGTTCAAAGAAAAACCCTGAAACCCAGATAACTGCGATTTTATCCTAAAGAGATGCATGCATGAGTGATAGAAGCAGTTGGATGGATCTGTAAGAGCAGCAAACAGCAGGTATTGACTCAAGCTTGATGGAGACGCGTAGAATCTCTGACACCTGAAACAAACGTTTAAAGGATTAACACACTTTTCTTGGGTCATTTGCAGTTTCGGCAAGTGATCTGATGGAAGAAGTCTCTGTTTAGGGGTCAAAATAATTCACACAAGTCTCAAATTACACAACAGATTTTCCTCAAACTTCTGCTATTATTTAGTGGCATTTGCACGAGTCAAGCATCACTATTACTTAAGTTCATAGTTTGAAAAAACTTCTAAGCCAGTGGTTCTCATTCAGGCGGCCAAACTTCCCTATGATTTGAAATAAGACAAAACAAGCATTAAAATAAGCTAAAAATCAAGATATTTCTGTTTTTTAAACACCCCCTCAACAACTGTTTTTCTCTTTGAAGAACCATCATAGAAAATCTGGATATATGATGAAAAGTCATTTTTAAAACGTGATTTCTACACCTGAAAAAGTCATTGAAATTAATAAAATCTTAAAACAGCATCTATTTTTATAATGAATATACATTTAACTCTTGTGCACTGTTGTAAATAAAACAAAAATGACTGAAGTACATTTTACATGAAAACACAATTTCAGTGTTTCTACTTTTAAATCAGTTTAATTCAATGTGTCATATGCAGTTTCTTTGCAATTATTTGTTGAATGTACTAGCAAAAAATGGTTTCTACACCAAATTTTATTCAGTGTAGAAACTGAGAGCAAAAATATTTTTAAAGACCATTATCCTTTATCCTTATCCAGTAAATTACAAATGACTGGAAAAGTCATGCATAAATTTTACATATTCTTGCATATTAAAATAAAAAAAAAACTAGCATCTTCTTGCTTTGCAATAAAAAACTTTGGATTGTCTTGCATATTGCAGGACAAAAACATTGCATATTCTTTACATATTGCACATTTTATTAAGTATAAATAAAGATCCTTATCCTTTATCCTTATCCAGTAAATCACAAAGGACTTGAAGTAATGCAGATGGAAAAGGCCGGGATCCTTGAAAAACATTAATTCCAAAAACTTTGCATATTCTTCCATAATGCAATAATAAACTACATATTCTTGTATACTGCAATAAAAAAAACTCTGCATCTTCTTGCATATTGCAATAAAAAACTTTGGATATTCTTGCTTGTTGCAGGACAAAAACATTGCAAATTAAAAAGACCAGGATGCTTGAAGAACATTCAGCTCTTAAAATTTCTGGAATCGAGAAATTTAATGAATTAAAAGAAACTAGAAGTGTTAGCTTTTCAATATTGATGTGAATAATGGAGGGTTTTAGAGTCATAAAGGTTGAAATCCACTTCTAAACTTCTACTCGTCTCACATTTACATACAGAAATGAACAATGATAACTCTTTATGGAAGATTGAGCACAGAATCAGAGTCACGCCGTAGATACGAGCGCTGACCCATTAATCCAGCCCTTGCAGCTGCTCCTCCACATGCATCGCCTCAAGGGAGGCCACAGGAGAAATCAAAGCCACCTGGAGGAGACGTGACACAACCTCGACCCGGATGGCAGGGGTACGGGAAACAAACGAGGAGGTAAAGAAGAAACAGATCGAGTCTGATGCATCGCTCGAATTCCTGTGAGAAAATCCCCAAAACAAGACGAAACGGAAATTAAACCCTATAGAGTGGTAACGCTCTGCATGCTACCAACACAACTCCCTAAGACTTCTCAACTGAAAAAGTAAAGTCAAATGTATTTTTATAGCGCAATATGCATCGTTTCAAAGCAGAAAAATTATTTAGTTTCTAGCCCTATAGGGTTCAAAAGTTATTAGCATAAACGTGAGTGCAACTTTGGACAGTTGGTGGCGCTAGAGAGATTGAGGTAGAGACTCCAAATTTGGTGTGGTTAATATTCAGACTGTCCTCTATCTGCGTACCAAATTTCATAACTGTTTACCATACGGTTCTATGGGAAGTCATAGACTCTAGAGCAGAAAAAGAAGACTAACGGATACAATAGGTGCTTACGCACCTTTGGTGATTGGCCCCTAAAAACACTGAATCCAATATTTGGTGATAATATAGCAGTGGTCACCAATGTGTCTCTTGAGTCGCCCGCCAAGCACGTTCTATAAATAGCCTAAATTGGCGTCAGGCGATAAAATTATATCATATCGAGATTACGATAAATTTTATGTTAATAATGATGATAAACTCTGGACATTTTTAGTCAATAGGGATTAATCTAACATCCTATCACACAACAGAAATAAATGTTACAGCAACCAGTCAGTAGTGATGTTAGGTTCTTGAACGAATCTCAGGAAGTAACCGGTTGTGCCGGTTAACAAATCGAACTGAATTGAACTTTAGTTCCAGGTTGATGACGCAGGACGCAAAGCCCGAAGTAGCATGAATGAGCCGGTTCAACCAACTGTCGAAGTTTGCAGAGGATTACCGAGGACTCAACAAGAACCGAATGAGTCGTGGCGAAGTTTGCCGAGGATTACCGAAGATTCTGATGAGTGAGTTGACGATACTGTGCAACTTGCCTGAGGCGCGTACTGGAAATATACTTATTATTTATTTATTGATTTAGTCATTTAGCAGACGCTTTTATCCAAATCGACGTACAAATGAGGACAACAGAAGCAATCAATTGTAGTATTAAAACAACTAAAAACAGATCCAAAACTAAAAGCTAAAACTTTATAAATACTACCTATACACATTTTAAAAATAAAGAAATTAAATAAAAATGACAAATGCATACAACAAAATTTCAAAACTTAACATTTAAATGAAAAACAAAAAATAAAGCTAAAAACAATTCAAAATATTAAAGAACAAAAGGTATAAGAGTATAATAATGATTCTAACATAACACTAAAGCCAAACACCAACAAAACAACTACATATATGTGTATGTACAGCCACACACACATACATATATATATATATACTGTATATATACATACACATTTATAAATTCAATATATATATATTATTTCATTTCCATTTAG